TTTAAAGCATGCAACATTACGAATCATTCATCCTTTGACGAGATTCTCCCGTGAAATGGGGGGGGGGGGGAATGCATAACGCTCTCTGAAAAAGATCGGATTTTATTACGATCATATATTTTCATTATAAATAATGTGTATTGGCTTTATTTATTTTTTTTTTTTTAAATAAAGACCTTATATAACTTTGATTTAAACTTTTTTTTTTTTTTTTTTTTTTTTTTTTTTTTAAATAATTTTATAAACAATAAACGAGTTTGATTCTGTGGTACATGAATAATCAAAATAGAATTCATTGGCGGATCCAGAGGTGGAGTGGGGTTCCAGGGATTGGAACCCCCGGCCTTTATTTTTGTACACACATACAGAGAGAGAGAGAGAGAGAGAAAGAGAGAGAGAGAGAGAGAGAGAGAGAGAGAGAGAATGTTTTTTCTGTAATATATAAATATTTACACGTCTAATAATATGAATAATTTGAAGACATAAAAAAAATCTCTGTCCTTTCAGTTCTCTAAATCTGTAATTTTCGCGGATTTGCTTTCCTCTGCGTGCCTTCAATCATTTTTCAATCTTATTTGAATCTTTCACCATTTTACAACAGTATACAAAAATCACAAAAATATATAGGTGATTTTATACATAACAGTAGATCTATAAAGCATGCGTGAATAAGAAACTAAACAAAAAAAATTGTACGTTGCTATGAATGTGAAGTATGGGAATTTAGGCGGTGGGCATATTTTGTTATTTTTTTTTTCTTTATAAACGAGCACAATTTTCTCAGAAAACAGTGTTTATCGTTATTCATTATGTGTTTAAAATTAATCACTTTCTGAAATTTTATGCTTTTTTTCTGTTAAGCATAGCATTCTTTCTGAAAGTAGCGAGCTGCACTTTAGTATGTAATGAAACTCATCTCCGAGTTCTTTTAAATTACAATGGGGACAAATTCTATCTTGTCTTGGTAACCCTGGCTAAGGGCTTCGACCACCCACAAGTAGCATGCAAGGAAGATTCCAGCTAACTTTTTTACCATTTTGGACCATTTTTAGAAGTAACTAACTTTAAGAAGTATGCATGCAATATTTCGATTCGTTAAAGATAAAGGTTTAAAATGTTCCCGTAGTATGCAGATGAAGAGGGGAGGGGGCTCACTTTTTCTGTGGATAATCTTTGCTGCAGTTTTAAATAAATTAAAATTTTGATTTGGAAGCTCTCTCCACATTTTTTGTTTGCAGGAAAATACGCAGATTCAAGCATGTAAAAGTAATGTACCGAACAGAAAAGTTACAGGAAGCCTCCTTTATCCCCTACAAAAAAGGATTGCATAGAGTGTGGTGCATAGATTTTTTTGTTTTGTTTTTTGTGTTTGTTTTGTTTTTTGTTTGTTTGTTTTTTTGGTTTTTTTTTTGCTTGTCAACTGATTTTGGAGGTCCCCCATCAATATAAATTGAAGTGGCTGTGTTGTGATTCTATGCATGAGTGCCATGCGCGGATCTAGAGGGGGTTAGGACACCCCCTCCTGGGATTTGCAAGGTTATTAAATTTATATACAAAAGCTAGAAAAAAAAGTTACGTTGGAACCCCCTCGGAAAACGTAGACTCCCTGGTAAACGCGAATTTGTGTTAAATTGGTACGAAAAGTGTAAGGTTTGAAGCATTAAAAGTCATCGGCTACACGCCCCCCCCCCCCCCCCCCCCCCGAAATAGTTTTTGAAGTTTGGGCGAGTTTACGGGGTATTTTGCATGTCAAGAAATATCTGGGTTGGATATAAATTATTAATAGTCGAAGCAAATAGGAAGGGAAAGCAAACTGCCGATGAGAGTTCCACATTCTACCAAAAATTAGCTTTTTTATACCTCTTGTCTACATAATTTTTGTCCAGATTCCTTACCTGAGAAGGTACATGTATTTGAGAAAGTTCCCAATGTTCCCATTTCTATGATGTGTAGACTTCACGTTTACATGAATTTTCCTTTCAATTTCGGCGTTTAGGTTTATTTTTTTGTCAAAAGTAAAATTATTATTTCAATTTTTGAACAAGTTTCGACATCCCCTCCTGAAAAAAAATCTTTGATCTGTCCCAAGATCTAATAAATGGTACAGCACAAAATACATATGATTTTATATCTATTATTGCGCTTACAGATGGTTACAGGAGGAGAGAGAGCGAGAGAGTTCAATGAATAAAAGAGTAATTAAAAATTATCTGTATTCAACCAGGTTTCAAGTATCCCTACCCAAGTTTTTAAAAGTATCTCCCAAATATTGCGACAGAAATTATTTTTATTTTCAAAAAAAAAACTAGACTGTCAGACAGGGATACTGAAATCTCGAAAGACTTCCTGTAATAATTATAAAACAGCCACATTCCGCAAAACTGTACATACTTTGTGGTCGGAGTGAGACAATAAAAAATCTTCAAAAATGGATTTGGCAGAAATGTCTGTCTTCCAAGAATATTTAGGTAACGGCCATGTAATTATTTCTGCCCCCCCCCCCCTCTAAAAATACGAATGCCTCAATATCAGTCTAAACGGGGATTTTTTTTTCCGCGGTATGTTAAAGAACGTACAGATGTACACATAAACTTTTATATTCTGGTGAAATGTTTTTAAGTCTTGAACTAAATATTTACCGTATATCAAATTATTTGGTTTAGATTTGAGATTAGTACTAAAATAATCAGTTGTAATTGACAAATGAATTTTGCGATGCAAAACAATTGCAGACTATATAAAGAATGCTTATTAGAACTAGATAGACAATTTTCAGTTATACCTTATAAAGCCGTTATAATTATACTTTAGACCCCCCCCCCCCCCATTTCAGCCGCGCAAATACCACTCTTTTCCACTTGTGGTATTTTCCCTGACCAAAATCTGATCAGCACGGACTAAGTGTATCGACGCGCTAGACTGTACGGAGTAGATACAGTGTGTTTATTGAGTTTTTATGGAGTTTATTTCTTTTTTGTGATGCATATTTCAATAAATGGAATTCAAGGTGTATATCACTTGACTTGTGCACATCTTCGAACCGATGCAGTGATCTTATTACCAGGTATGGGTACGTTTACAGCGTTCGACGCGTTTTCTCGACATGCATCAAAGTCTGCATAAAACATGCAAATCAAAGACGCTGATTGTTTTGTTCCATTCAAATGATAATAATTTCAAAGTGTGTTTACGGGTTTTAGTGCTTTTTATTTCATGTTTATTCTGCATAAATTGGCGCAGTGTAAAAATGCGTACTCGTGCAACTAACTCTTTCTTTCAAACTTGCATTTTCTTTCTTTTTTATAACATTTGATTCAAATCTTTAATTATTCAGAAATATGATTATTATGTTGTGTGGTTTGAAATGTCTTGATCAACCCATATGTTTTCAAATGTTTTACCATCGGAGATGTGCACAAGTCGATAGCCAAGCCAAAAAATCATTCAAGTGTAACGAGGGTATTGGGGTATATATCGTTACAATAAGACAAGGTATCTGAAAGAAATATGGCGGAATACGGCTATAGTTGGTATGAAACAAGTCGTACATAGATGAAAAAGTTGCGTTTTTAAGAATTCATGTCAGCTTTAAGATAGTTCAGGGTGTGGATCCAAATTTATTATGGTGTACGATAGGGTCGGATTAAGATCTACCCTACAATAACAGTAACATATAAGCACACACACAAAACAATAGTGTAACAGGAGAGGGAAAAATGCAGCGGATTCGAACTCGGGCCCCCTGAAACTCCGGTCAGGTGCTCTACCAACTGAGCTATCTGGCCACCGGCTGACCGCCACATTCCTCCCTCCTTAAAGGTCTTTGGCCCTCCAAAGACCCCAACCCAGGCTCATTCCTGGCAGGCCTCTCACCTGTCAGTTCCAGGTCATGGGACGGCACCAAATGTAACGGGAGAGGAGAAAATGCAGCGGACCAGAGCGGGATTCGAACCAGGCCCCCCTGAAACCCCGGTCAGGTGCTCTACCAACTGAGCCATCTGGCCACCGGCGATCGAACCCGGCTGACCGCCACAATACAAAGACAATACAAAAAGATAATCACATCTTTAATACAATCATTTATAGTCCGTTAACATTTATAGCGTTTAAAATAGGTAGTTCACATTTCACTCAATTTGATTATCTTTTAACCAATATACTTTGCTTCTAATTTATAGAAATAACTAATAAACAATATTTACATTAATCAATCTGATCAATACATACACCTTTGTAATTTACATCAACACTTACCCATTTATGGAATAAGGTGAATTCCTAACTCCTAGCTAAACCAATCTGACTTCACTTCAGATATCTTACCTAATTAACAATATGTAAAAATTATAACAAGCTCTCAAACCCCTTATTTAGGAAGCAAGAATAGATTTAAAATAGTTAACCTTCTCTTATAGTTATTTATCAATCTTTGTATAGATTCCTTGAACAAACTCACACTTTATTTAGAAAGTTTTGATTAAAATGAATCATTTAGATTTCTCATTCATTAATAAATTATTTAGATACATATTTAGTAGTTTAATTATTTATTAAATAACTTACATGAATAAGGGTGGTGTTTCCAACACTATGAATTATGTTTTATCTCAATATACAGGCATACACTTTTCAAAAACCAGTTCTCAGAATAAGGGAAATTATGACAGTAGTTCCCGCCAATTCTACTTAAGAACCATTTAACCACACTGACCAATAGAAATCAATGTAGCACTAAATAATGGAATAACCCATTCAATACATTACCTGGTAGTCTACCTGGAATACAACACATAACTAAATACGGGTGTGAAGGTTTATAACAGACACTGAACAAGACAACATAAAGTGCTAGTAAATCGCATTGCGCAGCGCTGAATGAATGAATGAATGATTGAATAAAATAAAGAATGAGAGTAATGTGTACAATTTTAAAATACATATCCTAAAAATATAAAAAGTACAACTACCACACTTATTTGATTTTCTTTTTTATCTTATAGCGCTCGGAGCTAAGATTCCTCACTCTGTTCTTGAAATACTTCGTGACTTTGACGAAAACTATGTTCTTGCCGCTGCCAGAAATTACCTTGACGATGAAATCATTTTACAAATCACTGACGTAGTCACTCCAGAAATCACTATGTCAATGGATCACCGCTGCCTCCGCTATAACTTTTTTGTGTTTGAATCAAACACCCTTACAGTTGGGTATATAAAAGATGACTTCAATCCATATGATCTGACAGAGGATTTACGTTTTCACGGGTCACTTGAGGGCAAATTCAACAGTGCATCTGTCAATCTTCCTACTGGAGTAAAATTCAAGGTTAAGCTTTATTATTATGCATCCTCTGCATTAACAATACATAAATTTTTGCTTAATTTAAAACTCTTGTAAACTCTGTTATTTTTATTATTTAAGGTGGTTTTCCGTGGAATATTTCAAAAATCCACCTATGGATTTCTTCTTATCGATAACGTAACAATCACTGACGGAGAATGTGGTAAATAAACTATAAAATGCTGATAATACTTTACAAATCAACATTTAAAATAACTTGGAATCAATTTACAAATTTTTTAACAATTAAATGTGTGAAAGGAAACAAACTTTTCATAGTTAAATAATATATCGACGCGATGTAATTTATTTATTGTCTCTGTTTAATTCCAGAAAAGTGTGGTACTAGTGAATTCAAATGTAGTGATGTAAGTGATGAGTGTATTCCATTGAACAAGGTGTGTGATCTTGAACCCGATTGTATTGGAGGAGAAGATGAAAAAAGTTGCAGTATGTATATGTCCATACGTATCATATAGTGTTCATTTATTTATTCGTTAACATTGTTATAGATTATTTCAAAAATACAAAATAATTTTTAAATATTTATTTAACAGTAAGTTTTTTAAACATAAGGACAGGATTTATGAAAAAAAGAATATTTTTTTTAAATTTCAAGTTACAATTTTCAAGTTAGATAACGTCAATATTTTAAAGATTTTAAAGTAAATCTGCAAAATTGATTTGCACAATTTAATCCGAAATGATGACAATCAGAACATTAAATGATCAAATATATGAAATGTTTTCACGATTTAGCAATGATTATTTTCCAGACTGGGATGTTATTAGATCGTCATGCAGGATAAATGAAAGTTCAAATCTATTAAATAAAACTTTGCCTCAAATACAGAACAGTCTTCAAAGAAAGACATATGAAAGGATTCGTGAAAATGATTCATTGAGACAATTCATTCTTCTTTCCAATCTATGTGAAAAAGAAGACCAGTGCCTATCGAATTCTTCTGATACTTGTTCTTTATATTGTCCACGTGACTGCTTCTGCAATGGTCTGTCTGTAACGTGTTCTTCTGACAACGTTCCCTCCTATGCTACTTTTATAACCTGGCAAAGTATTGTTCAAGAAAACTTGGAAATAACCAAGGAAAGGTTTCCCAATATGAAGACGATTAACATTTTTAATTGTACCTTTAGATTTATCAAAATTGGAAATTATCCGAAGATTGAGAGCATTTCAATCAAAAAAAGCAAAATTGACCATCTTTCTTTCTTTTATTATAATACATATGTGATACAATATTTTCATATACTTGAGAGTTCGTTTCAAAGGATTGACTTTCAAATGATAGGTAACGTTTATGATATTGAAGAATTTTATGTTCATAAAAGCTCTGTAGTTGTTGATCAAAATACACGTATTTGGAAACTCTATGTGACCCACCTTAGATTATCAGAGTCTGAAAGTTTCTACGGAATTGCAGATTTCCTGCGTTGTTGGGTTGCTAATTACAGTTTTTGTAATCTGAAAGAACAAAAGTTTAGTGATTCTATATCTAATATCTACTTGATCAATCACATGTATAATGTCATTACAATTGATTTAAGTTACAACTTCTTAATCACGTGGAAACTGGTATCATACACAAAAAAGCTCTATTTGCATCATAATTCGATCACATCATTGAACCACACTCTTTATGACAGACAGTCAGAGGCTCGCTTGCAGTATTTAGATCTCTCTTACAACAAGATTATCAGTATTAATAATGAAGATTTGGAGGATCTACCAAATCTTCTGTATCTTATTTTTCATGAAAATCGTTTGACACATATCCAAGAGAAAGCTTTTGATAAATTAACTAAGCTTATTCATTTAGATTTGTCAAATAATAATCTACGAAATCTTAACCGCTTCCATTTCATGTATCTGTCAAGATTGCAATATCTCAACCTGCAGAATAACGATGTTAAAGTGGTGGAGGGAATGTTTGACAGTCTTATGAATATCCTTTATCTTCAGGTGGACTCCTACACGCTTTGTTGTGCACAGCCTAAAGCCGTCGGCAAGATTCAGTGTGTAGCTCCATTGAATGAAATATCATCTTGCCACAATTTGATACATTTACATATTCTGAGAATAATTATTTGGTATATTGCTCTCCTTGCTCTGTTTGGGAATATGTCTGCTATATTTTACAGACTTTACTGTGTTAAGAAGAAACCAGTCACAACATTTGACATTTATTCTTTAAATCTGGGTCTGGCAGACTTCTTTATGGGTGTTTATCTTTACATCATAGCCGGGGCTAACATAGCGTTTAGTGGTCGTTATGGTTTTGAAGATTTCTCATGGAGACACAGTCCTTATTGTATCTTTGCTGGTGTCCTGGCTACTCTTTCTAGTGAGGCATCTGCTTTATTTGTACTTTTGATCACCATTGACAGAATACTTGTAGTGCGATATCCGTTTTCAACGCTCAAGAAAAGGATCAGGGTATCAAAACTCAATTCCAGCTTGGTATGGACTATCGCTCTCTTTTTGTCTGTAATACCCCTTACCGGAAGTGAATATTTCGATGACTACTATTCAAGTTCCGGAGTGTGTATTTATTTGCCTTTGTCTGTTCTACGAAAAGCGGGATGGGAATACTCTATGATTATATTCGTTGGAGCAAACTTTTTAATCTTTATTGCAACACTCATCGGACAAATTGTAATATTTATGGATGTTGTTCGAATGGGGAAGAAGACGGCTTTGCATTCCGTAAATCGACAAAGAAAACGAGAAGTGGGCATAGCAAAGACTCTAATCACAGTTGCAGTTACAGATATGTTTTGTTGGATTCCAATTGGAGCTATTGGTAAGAAATATTTCACATGAGATAATGTTAGATTTAAATGTACATTATTTTCGGTTTGTTTTTATTTATGTTGCTATATCTTGCAATTTTTTAATATTAAGGGCTTCTGACGTTTATGGGTATCGATGTAACTGTTCAAGTTTATGCGTGGATTATTGTCGCTGTACTTCCAATAAACTCGGCGCTGAATCCACTCATTTACACATTTTCTGCAATAATGAGACATGGGAGCCACAAAGTTAGACAAAAATGTGCTCAATTCTAATTATTACGTACACTAATCATTATAAACAACGATTAATTTATTCATGCTTAAAACATTGCAGAATCGCAATCAGAAAACCGGCTGTACAAAGGAAACGGGGTATAATAAGCCTAATGAAAGAAATCTGGTTGGTATATTTGAATTTTCCTCAATGAAAAACAAATCAAATTAATGATTTTTCAGATTTTCCACTTAATGAATTAATGATTATTTTGATCATTGATTATTTTCCTTTTTTACTTTCGATGATAAAGCCGTCCCTGACAGATGAAGAAGATTTGTCGACTCCCTTCACAGAGGCAAGGACTCCTCAAAAAATAAAACCTTGTGTAAACACTATTTCATTTGTTCAACTTTAACATGAAGTTATCAAAATGCTAGATGAAGCAAATAAAAGTAATAAAAGCCAATTTAGGAACTTTTTGAATTCGATGCAACAAATTAACGATTTTATGAAAACTTATATTGTTTGTGATATATTTTTGTATTTCGATATACTAATTAATGTTATCTTTGACAAGATTTAATGGTGCTTAACATGTTCAATTCTTGTTCTTTTACCCGCCAATCCAGCCTTCCTTTTCTAGATTGTCAAATCGATATTTTTACCAATATCAGTGCTTTCCAATAGAAAATGTAGTTAATTAAACCTCCTACATTGTTTTACCATTATATTTCTCTAAAACCCATTTATTTAAAAAAAAACTTTCAATGGCTAATGCGCTGATGTTGGAAGCAGTAAAATGACAATTAACGAGATTGAAAGCTTTTCATTGTGACGTCATAATAGAGCGACGCAAAAACACAATGCTTTGCGACGTATTTCATATAACAAAACGCAACAAAATAAGACATAAACAACAAACAGAATGCAATAATTGCATTAGAATGAGAATAACTGTCTTCTTATTTGGTTTTTGCGACCATTAAAGCTGATTTAACGGTCGTAAACATCCGTTTTACTGGCTCCGTTTACGCGTCGGAGTTTGTGCCCGTTAAATCAGCATTAACGATTGCAAATACCAAACTACAAGACAGTTATTCCCTAATTGTTGTACCCTTATTTCCGGTGACATTAAGATATTGTGGCTAAAAATGAAAAAAAAAAAAAAAAAAAAAAAAAACAAGAAAAAAAATACCCGCATTGTTCTTTCATTTTGAGTAACTCCCCTTAAGGTATGTCACTCGTCAACTTTTTAGAAAAATTCGCGCAGAACCTCTTTTTTCGAAACTGTTTGTTGAAATTCAATTTTTATAACAAATTTAAACCTAACAATGTAAATTTTCAAATATTCAACGAAAACACTGCTCAAAAACCTACAAAGAAGCCAGATTTATGAGGGACTATTTTTGTATGGTGGAAGGATATTTAGCAGAAAATTCTGCAAATCTGCACATTTGTTAAATTTCCTATCGTGACTGTATCTTGGTGAGTTACAGATCAAGATTGTATATCGTTCCGCTTCATTAATTTATGGTTTCAGATCGGGTTCGTGCTGTACTAAATTAATATTACAAACGATATTATCATGTTAAAATTATTTATTTGAAACTTGCGTGATAGTTTTATAGTTATGAACTAGATAGAATGCTCTATCGTTATAATGATACAGACTCGTTTTAACGATGGAATGCATTCTGTGAATTGGCAATCTAGCGAGGGGAAAAAGAGATAACTCTAACTCAGTGCATACTGGTTCCGAATGTCAACATGCTGTGCAAATTTGAAGTGAGAAAAAGACGTTGAAAAAATAAGATGAAATATCGTCTTTATTTAGATTTTTTAAAAGTTGAAACATAAACAACTTCAGAATTTTTAATTACTTAATTTGGTAGAAAATTTTAAGGCAAATTCTTTTATATCAATCAAAATCAATTTGAAGCTATTCTCATTCTTATGATAGGAGGAATTCTAACTGCTTGTGGTGAGATCTTTTTCAAAGCACAGTAATAATATTCTAAGTGACAAACTGTAGATTATCTATTCATAAACAAGTGATTATCAATATATTCAAATTTTTGGGCACTTTTTCATACAGGATCTAATTAAATGACATCCTGAAGAGAAAGAGGAAATGTATTGCTTATGCAATATTTTCTGAATGTTTGTTCTTGTTGTCAAGAGATTTGTTCTTTGCTTCTGACATGTAATTTATTTCAATGGAAACAAATTGTCAAAAAACATTTCGGTATCTAATTATTATATTTTATTCATTCGTTTACTAAATGATGCCTCTTTCACATGAGCTAAAGAACCGTTCTTATCCAGTTTTATCCCAATTTTTTCAGATCAGCGAACTTCAGATTTGTAGCTACCAGTTTCCAACCTTTCAATGCACCCTCCACCATTCCCCATCCCAGCATACTGAGCAGCTACCGTAAATGACGACCTGCTGACCGTATTCCATTTAACAAAATGTACAAAAAAAACCATCACTGCTTTAAGTTCACCAAAGCCGAAGGTTCAAGTGAGCTTTCTGATCAAATTGTGTCCGTTGTCTGTCGTCGTTGTTGTCGTCGTTGTCGTTGTTGTCGTCGTCGTTGTTGTTGCAAACTTTTCACATTTTCATCTTCTTCTCAAGAACCACGGGCACTGGGCTAATTTCAACCAAACTTGCCATAAAGTATTCTTGGGTGAAGGGAATTAAGTTTGTTCAAAGGGGAAATAATTATGAATTAGTGAGAATTAGTGATATCTTTTAAAAATCTTCTTCTCAAGAACCAGTGGACTAGGAAAGATGAAACTTATGTGGAAGCAATTCAAGTTTGTTCAAATTATGATCCCCTGGGTAGAGTGGGCCACAATGGGGTATCAACTGTAAAGTTCTGATTGGTTAGTTAATATATAGAGGCATAATCGGGTAGTGTAGATTCAAATCTGTTCAAATCAAGACCCCTGGGGGTAGAGCGGTACATGGGAATAATCATTAAATTTCGTGGGAAGGATATGTACTGACAATATACTGTGTGTATGTTTTGCTGTCGGACATTTCTACTCTGAATTTTCTGGATTATATTTTAATATTTTTCTCTTATACACAAGATTTTCACTTTTCCCAAGCATTAAAATAAAATTAAAAGTTGTAAAAGTGCAATGATGTGTCAATCAAACCCGTCTAAAATTTTGAAGTTTTAATAATTTTTTGATGAAAAAAGATTTTTAATTTATTTTTGTGTAAAATGCTTTTAAAATATATAAGTCGTAATATTATACAGAAAATATTAACTTCGAATCTGTTTCCATGCATCTTTAAAATGCTTCAAATCTTCTAAGGCATATATTAGAGAATAAATTTAAATCGAATTACGGAATTTAAAAAAAAATGGGTGATTTGTAAATTTAGAAGAAAACAGATTAGAATCGAATGATCCGAAAATATATCATCTTTGCTAGCCTAGGGGGTTTTCTTTCGCTTCACTCTTCATAAACTCTTGGTATACGGTGTTAAAAAAGATGGGATTTTTTTTTTCCTTTTTTGTGTAAATAACGAAATCTGCGTTACTTTTTTGACTCTTCACTCTAGGGAATGAAAAACGCGTCAACAACAATCACACGCTATTCTATGAATTGATATGGTGTCAACCAAAATATGTGCAAGATATGATTAAGAATTTATATTGAAGATGTAGATTTGCACTTTGTATAAAAAATTTTGAAAACTCAATACATTCTTCTTGATTTTTCTTTTTAAATCTTTCATGACTTGAATACATTATTTATTTCTGTTGATGATGCAATTTGTGCGTACCTGTTGAAATTTGGGATCATATGACGAAAACAATCCCTTCTTTTCAGAGCACCATATGGCAAGGAAGCGTATCAAAAACCCTTGGCTAGTGAAAATGCAGATACATAAAATCGAGATATATGACAATTTCACAGGAATATTAGTTATAAAGCAAGAACAAATATTATAATATTATAACGAATATTATAATACCAATCTTACCGTGTATACCTGACTTTACATTACCCGTGCAAGTGTAAGTTTATTTGGTAACTATATCTCCTTTCGTGGACCAAAGAAGAACACGTTAACTTTTGTCACTAGCAACTGTTTAATACGTTGTTAAGGGAAGTAACTCCAAATTAAAGAAAGGTGCTGATATTTCTGTGTCTTTTTTCTATGTTTGCATTTTCAAAGTATATGCATGCCATCGGAAATGAAGATACAACAACGTATTTTATTTTTAAACTTTATGTAATAAATGGGCTTTAGAGAAAACTTATGGTTAAAATAATAAAGGTCCATTTTATCAGCATTTTACAAAGGAAATGCATTGAGAATTGTAAAAATATTGATTCGACAAAATCTATAAAAGAAGGCTGGTTTGATGGGCAAAAGAACCTGAATTAAACATCTTTGATACCATTAAACCTGTTCAATATTTTTTGAAAAAATTCTATACGAAAGTCAGAAACGTTGCCAATGTGCAAGTCATATCTTAAGACTTTTCCTTAGAACCTTTCCACAGCAAGGATAAAAGCATGCAAACCAAAGAAGAATAAATATATTTATTTCTTTTTTATATGTTTACATGCTTTTAAATTATAATGAAATTTAAGCAAAATTGTTCAATCTTAGGTTTTACAAGACATGAAAGGAAGCTGTGATGTGTGT